GCTCTCTGTCTTTCATTCTCTCTCTCTCAAATAAATAAATAAAATCTTTAAAAAAATTAAAAAATTTAAAAATTTAAAAAAATTATAATAATAAAAAAGACAAGCTTAAAAAGAGAGCTCCCAATTTCTAGGCCATGCTTCTCTTGGCTGGTTAAAATAAACATAATTTGTTTAAAGATTTTACTTATTTGTTTAATTAATTAATTTATTTGAGAGAGAGAGCACAAACGGGGAAAAGCAGAGGGGGAGGGACAAGCAGACCACGCTGAGAGCAGAGCCCCTTGTGGGGCTCAATCCCAGGACCCTGAGCTGAGATCATGACCTGAGCTGAAATCAGGAGTTGGACACAACTGACTGAGCCACCCAGGCACCCCTAAAATAAACATAATTATTAAGAAAATTTTAAAAATATCTTTTTTTATGGCATTTAATTATATCAGAGAATGTTTCATATGGTTTTGACCCTAGCTTAAATTTCCAACTTTAAATACTTCACGATGCTTTCCACATAGTACTGGGTGCTCAACGTCAATTTATTATACAAATTAATATTAGTAAAAGCTATCAATTTTCAAGGGTTTTCTTTATTGAAGAAATATATCTAACATAAAAACATGAAATTGGGGCTAGAGAATGGTTAAAAACATACTAAGTAATTTTTCTCCCACTTCTCATTCCTTGTACTCAATTACACTAATAGATACTTTCCAAGCACATCCACTGAATTCTTTAAATTAATTCCTTCATCAGATATTTACTGAACTATTATTGAGTTCCAGGCACTCTGATGGAGCCTGGAGACAAACTGCAAAACAATATGATAGAGACTGGAGGAAGAAGCATGAAGTATTAAGAAAGCACCTTCCTTGGAGAAAGTGGGTAGAGGACACAAAGGAACTTTTAAAAGCAAGCAACACTAGAGGGAATACTTTAAGGATAAGTGGAAGCATAACAATTATGTTTCATAAGGATGAAAAATATTTTGAAAAAACTCCATTGAAATTCAGCAGAATCTTGCAAACCAGCTCCCCAAATAAACCCCAAATCCCAAAAATGTAGTTTGTATTGAACTTGACCATATAAGCCAACTAGTTCAAGTACAGAGATAAAAATTCCAACTTCAGATATTTATTTTACACAAAGACCACTCATCATTTATATCAAGAAGGTACTCTTTGCTTTCACAAACACTAATGTATCTTATCAACTTCTAGTGTAAATGTAGAATTAAGTTTATAACTGTTTGGTGCCAAATTAAACTACAATATGACAACATACAGATTCAAAGGTAGGAGAACTTAAACACAAGCCCTTGGGGAGTCAGTGAGGAGTTCATGAAGAAAGTCATACACTGACCTTCAAAAAAGTTGAAGTTTGCCCACTCAATTTCTCCTTCCAATAAGTTATTTGTATTAACTTCATGGCTACCAAAAACCAGATCAAGTTCAATCTTCACTGATACAAAGCTAAACTTTTTAAATGGTTATTAGATATACCTTCATATTTAACAGCCAGTCTTTAGAGGAAGGGACCACCGCTTTCTCTTAGTAGTGAGTATGGAGAAAGCTTCAGGACTTCAAATACCTAGCTGGACATAGTTGGACACATTTTAAAAATTTCTTAATACATTCTGCTAACATTACTTCGTTTATATAACATTAAGAGTACAGGAAAATAAAACTTAAATTGTTAAAGAGAAAGCCAAATGGAGCTACCTCTTGACATGCCTGTTTAGTGAAACTACTTCAATAAAAACACACAATCTATTAAAAAGCACTAAAACTAGTGGCTAGCTTCAAGTTAACATTTTTATTGCTAAGTGTTGAAATTTCCTGCAATATTAAGATAAGGCTTAAACCCAGATAAAATCAATTTTTAATGCTGGAAATTGTCATTTACCCCCAAATATAAAGTTTTGCCTAATTTTTTGTGACAAAAAAAAAATGTAACTTTTTTCTTCTTTTTGAGGAAGTAAAGTTATCTCTAAAGAAATAACTGCTGAATTTGCGGGATCTTTGGAGTACCTCTAACTATATGCCTTACTGACACACAGTTAAATATTTAAACAGCTGTTTCTTTCCTCTAAAGACCCAAAGAGGCAGGATCGTACTTAGCTTCTGGAGATCAAGTCCATACTCAAAAATCCCCCAGAGGGTCAGCCTTGGTGGTGGGCTCTGAAGCCGCCAGTCTGGGTTCCGCCTCCAGCCACAGAAATCCACTTATTTTCCACCCACTCTTTTTGGCCAGCAGGTTCTCCCAGTCCAGAAGTGTTAAGTATCAAAGATCCCGGGGGCATTTAACATATGTACTTGATGCCCTACCTACGTTTACATTTTGGGGGTTTTCTTTAAAAACACACACAAACACCAGGCTCCACCGCAGGAAGACTCAGGCCAGCGAGCTTGACCACTGCCTCGCTAGTGGCTCAACCCACTGTTATCCAGGTTCTCACAGCTCCGCCCATAGCTTGATAGATAGCCAATGGCGTGTAAGGACTCTAGGAAGCGCGATGACGTAAGCGTTGACGGCCACGTGATGACGCAGACGGCGTTACCGTCTCCAAGGAGCGGTCCGGGGCACCGGTTTCAAAGTCGCAGGGCGGGCCGAGTGGACTTCCGCTGCTGGCCCCGGGTTTCCCTGCCGTCCTGGAGTCAACGCCTCCACCCCAAACGCTCCTCCAAGGACGCCGTCACCCGGCTTCTTGCCGGCTCCTTCGGCTGTCTCCTAAGTGGCCCGATACGACCCCGAGTGACCTGCGGGACGCCTATAGCCACCTGCGTCCCCGTTTTACCCGGCCGGGATTCGGGTGAACGTGGAACAAAATTCACTTGGTGGGTCCCCAGCAGACCTGAAATCTGAAGTCTGTTGCCTGAGCGAGGGGCTACGCTGGGACTCGGGAGAAGAAGTGGCGGGGGGGCTGTTGACGCCGCGTGAGTAGGATGCTGATAATACCGCTCGAGTGCTTGACAACCTCCGGAGCGTTGCTTTAGTTTTGTTTTCCCGCACAGCGAGCTCTGGGTTTTTTCTTTTTCGGTGGTGGTGGTGGTGGGGTTTTGTTTTGTTTTTGTTGTTTTTGAAGAAAGTGAAGGTGGTGAAAGCTCCAAACTAAAATTCTATCGAAATGGCCACAGAAATCGACTTTGTGAGAGATCAAAGTAAGCTCCATATTCCTTTATTGAGAATTCTTACATGTAAGGTTTAATGTCGTCATTGCTGACCAACTAATGTTTTTCTAATGTCTGTTTTGTGCATGGAAATTTGTAAAAACTTGTTAGCTTTGCAAAAAGCTTGGTAGTATGTATGAGGATGTGTATATACTTAAGCAGAACTGTTTGGTAAATCCTTGTAAGGTTCCTTTAGCTTACGTGGGACTCTACTAGACACTAAACATGGTTGTTACGCTCCTTGCAAGCTCTGGAGAAATTAGAGGGCTAATGGCCAGGAAGAGTTTCCAAGTCTGCCATTAGAACCTGGAGGCACAGTTCCGGCCATTTGTAAAGAGATGTTTATTGAACTCCTGTTTCAGTTATGTACCAGGCTCTATACAGGCAGAGCTGCTGCAAAGATGAGGAGGACAGTTCTACCTTCCAAGAATTTAATTTGAGTTAGGAAATACATAAATGCCATACACTGAAGTGGCAGCAAGTGCTAACTCTTTTGCCTCAGTTTCCTCATAGGGTTGTTGGAATGATTAAATGAGTATTAAAATATGTAAAGGATTTATAATAGTATCTGACACAAAACAAATGTGCTAAACAAATATTAACTGTTACAGGATTATTATTAACTGTGGTCAAAGGAGGTGCCATTTGGGCTGAAATTTGAAGTACTAATATGAATTTACTAGATAAAGAACTGTGTGGGTATCCCAAATAGAATAGTATATGCAGCGCTGAGGGGATTAGGAATATGTTTTGTTAAAGATTTGCAAGAAGGTTGGCTTGTATGGAATGTGGTTTATATAGGCAAATAGCAAGTGGAGCTGAAAGGGAAGAATGGGGCTGGATAGTGAAGGGCCTTGTCTGCTGTGTGTTGAGTTTGGACCATTGCACAGATTATAGGAACCACTGAAAGGAATTCACTTGAGAGTAGCATGATCAAACTGTGATTTGGAAAGCCTGGTATGGCTGTTATGAGGAATATGCATTATAGCAGAGTGCAGTTAGGTGACTATTACACAGGAGGTGAACTAAGGTAGTACAGTTAGATTGGAGATTAGGGAATCAGAGAGAACGAGGTAGAGGGCAACTGAGGTTTTTTGCATTAAGCAACAGGGAAGGTAGGAAAAAAGTGCTAAGTTCCACTTTGGAAGCTTTATAAATCAGTGGTTAAGAACTCAACCTCTCGATTCAGTCTGTCTAGGTTCATATCCTGGCTTTATCTCTTTTCAGGTCTTCGACCTTTGGCAAGTTACTTAGCTCCTCTGTGCCTTAGTTTTCTCATTTGTAAAATGGGAAGATTAGCACAATAACCCTCATGGGGTTGTAAGGATTAAACGAGATGATGTAAATAAAGCATGGTTTCTAGTACATATTAAGTGCACTATATATATATTATCTAAAATTATTGATGCACTATAATGATACTATAACATTAGCATTATTTCTCAGGTTTGAAGTGGGAATATCTGCCACCCCATAAGGAAGACTGGCTGGCCACCATCTTGAGTGGTGGGAGACAATAGTTGGGTGATGAGTTTGGTTGAGGTGGGGAGGATACCCGAGTCACTCAAAAACTATGAGTTTTAGAGGAATGAGCCAGCCATTTTTTCCTTTTAACTGGACCTAGTGTGCCAGTTACAGCTGAGTGGGTTACCCGCGTAGGCAAAACACCTAGACACCAGCTGAGGTAAATATAGATGGCTTGACCTTCTCCCACCTATTCTAACCTTGTCTACACTGACTTCTTGATCTTGATTGCCTCTTTATTTGTTCCATTTGGATTTGGTGTTTCTCAACTTGGCAACCCCTGTGATAAAGCATTAGCTTTACAAATGACTACAGGCAATTCCAAACCAACCATGCTTCTAATAAACTCCTAGCATATTTCCCACCTCCATCTGAGAAGGGAAATCTGATAGTCCTTAGGGACCTGTTCAAAGAGATACTTGTTTATCGAGCTAAAGAATGAAAAATCATTCTTGTAGTAGGGATTTAGGAAGTGGAGATGAACTTATTTTTTCTTTTCATTCTCTGTGAAGTGTTCTTCACAGAGCAAAAGTTTTTAATTTTGATGAAGTTCTCATTTGTTCTTTCATGGATGTCATATCTAAGAAATCTTTGCTTAATCAAAGGCTGCAAAGATTTTCTTCTGTTTTATTCTAGAAATTTTGTAATTTTGGGTTTTACATTTAGATTTATGATCCATTAGATTTGTGATCCATTATGATTCATATTTGATCCATTTTACATTTAGATTTATGATCCATTTTGTATAAGGTACAAGATAAGGGTCAAAGTTCACTTTTTTGCATATGAATGCAATTGAAAAGACTATCCTTTCTCCATTGGATTACCATTGCACCTTTGCTAAAAATCATTTGGCCTTGGGAAGCCTGGGTGGCTCAGTCGGTTAAGCGTCTGCCTTCAGTTCAGGTCATGATCCCAGGGTCCTGGGATCAAGCCCTGCATCAGGCTCCCTGCTCAGTGGGGAACCTGATTCTTCTCCCCCTGCCACTCCCCCTCTTGTGCTTTCACGCTTGCTCTCTCTCTGTCAAATAAATAAATAAAATCTTCAAAAAAAAAATCATTTGTTCTTATTTGTGTCCATCCATTTCTGGACTCTATTCTGTTCCATTGATTTGTTTATCTCTTTGAGCACCAGTATTCCAGTGTTTTGATTATTGCAGCTTTATAGTAAGTCATAGAATCAGATGATGTTAGCCTTTCAAATTTGTTCTTTTTCAGTTATTTTGGCTATCCTGGGTGCTTTGCAATTCCATATGAATTTTAGGATCAGCTTGTCAATTTCTTCAAAAAGATGCTGAGATTTTGAGAGGCATTGCATTGAATCTATTGATCAATATGTGTAGGATTCATATCTAATGATATTGAGTCCTCTTATGAATGAAAAGATATATTCTCTCCATTGATGTATCTATTATTTTATTTCTCTTGGCAGTATTTTGTAGTTTTTAATATATAGGTTTTGCACATCTTTTATCAGATTGATCCCTATGTATTCTGTTTTTGATACTATTGTAAATGGTATTATTCTTTTACTTTTGATTTTTAATTTATCATTGCTAATATATAGAAATACATCCTTTTTTTGGAATATTGTACCCTGAAACCTTTTTAAACTCATTTATTCTAATAGGTTTTTTTTTAGAGTTCATCAAATTTTCTGCATAGACAATCTTTTCATCTGTTAAAACAGTTTTACTTCCTCCTTTCCAATTTGGATGCCTTTCATTTCATTTTCTTGCCTTATTTTACTGGCTAGAACTTCCAGTACAGTGTTGAACACAAGTGGTTGGAGTGGGCATCCTTGTCCTTTTCCTGATCTTAGGGTACAAACATCTGTCTTTCAAAATTAAGTATGATACTATAGATTTTTTATAGATGTTTTTAAAAGGTTGAAAATATGCCTTTCTATTCCTAGTTTTCTGAGAGTTTATCAGAATGGATGTTGAATTTTTTTTTTCAAATGCTTTTTCTGCATTTATTGAGAGGATCAGATTTGTTTTCATTTTTAGTTTGTTAATAGGGTGACTTACATTGATTAATTTTCATATTTTAAGCCTGCCTTACCTCTCTTTTTGGGAAAAAATACTCTTGCACATGTATTATCCTTTTTATATATTATAGATTTAATTTTTTTTTAAGTTTATTTTAAATTTTAATTTTCTATGTTCATAAAGCCTTTTTTCCCCCCTTCTAATTTCTTTGCCTGATTTTGGTATGAGGCAATGCTTGCCTCATAGAATTTGTTGGGAAATATTTTGTTTTCTTCAATTTTCTGGAAAAGTTTAGGTAGGATTAACATTATTTCTTCCTTAAATGTTTGGTAGAACTTACCAGTAAAGTCAACTGGATCTAGAGTTTTCTTTGTGGAAAGATTTTAAACTATAAATTTAATTTCTTTAATAGATGAAGAGGTACTCAGTAGTCTGTTGTGTACTGTTGTTTTGTTTTTGTTTGGGGTTTTGTTGTTGTTGTTGTATACTGTTGTATACAGAGACCCTCCACAGATTTCATATATCCAGAGTTCTCTCTCTGTGTAGCTCTCTCTCATACTTTACCTTGCCAATTCTAGTTCACTTTGTCTCCACTTCCTTAGCTCAGAGAATCGGCCTATCTCTGAGGCCTGCATTTTCCCTCTTTGCGACATGGACTAGAAAGACTCTCAAGTCATTAAGTTGGAGCAGTCATAGGGTTTACCTTATTTGTTTTGCATCTCTCATCATCGTCTATTGTCTAGCGTCTTGCAAACCATTATTCATTCATTTATTTGCTTTTGGTTGTATTGAGTGGGAAGGTGGTCCTTGTTACTTCATATTGGACATAATCAGAAGTCTATTCAAGTTACCCTGCTTTTGAAATCTTAAACACAAGTTTCTTACTCCCACTGTAACTGTTCTTTGGCTTCATCAAGACTTCTGTTTTTTGAACTCTTCATTTTCCTCTATTTCCTTAACTCTTTCCCAGCTTGTTTTTACTACTTTCTCTTTTTAAAAAAGTTTATTCATTGGGGGGGGGGAGGGAAGAGCATGTGCACAAGTGGGGTGTGCAGAGGGAGAGACTCTCAAGCAGATTCCCCACTGAGCACGGAGCCTGACATGGGGCTCTATCTGACAACCCTGAGGTCATGACCTGAGCAGAAACCAGCTAAACCGACTGAGCCACCCAGGCGCCCCTGTTTTTACTACTTTCTTTACTGTAACCATTGCCCATTAGTTCATCTGTCAGTAATCTTTTTTTTTTAAGATTTTATTTATTTATTTGAGAGAGAGTGAAAGCGAAAGAGATCATAGAGGGAGAGGTAGAAGCCGACTCGCCATTGAGCAGAGAGCCCGATGCAGGGCTCGACCCCAGGACCCTGGGATCATGACCTGAGCCGAAGGCAGTCGCTTAACTGACTGAGCCACCCAGGCACCCCTCTTTTGTCAGTAATCTTAATATGATTATACTGCTTTTTTGAGTAGCACATACTC